TGGGCATTGTGATGGGCACCTATAGTCCCATCTACTTGGGAGGCTGAGGCAATAGAGTTGTTTTAAGGTGCTGTGAGCTGTGACGCTGGGGCACTCTACCAAGGGCGGCATAGTAAGACTCTGTCTATAAATAAATAAATAACTAACATAATTTAACTTACAGAAGTTTACCTGTAAATTCAAATGTGCTGTGAGATGAAAAAGATAGAAAATGCTGACCTAAACTATTAACACAGGTTTGCCATCTTAATGGCAGCTTGTTTCTGCCAACAATTAAGTAGCTTGGAGAGTGAGTGGTGATGAAATCGCAAAAGGTGGTTTTCACCACTTGTTGAGAATTGAATTTTTTTTTTTTGCCAAAAAGTGGTCCAAAGCCTGAAAGAAGAGATAGTCATTTGGTGCAAGGTCTGGTGAAAAGAGTAGATGACAGGGATTTTCCAAGTCCAGCGTCTGTAGTTTGAGCAATATTGTTTGTGGAACAACATTATGTTGTAAGAGAAATGGCCTATGTCTCTTGACCAATCTCAGCTGGTTAATCAGAAGCACCTTCATCATGTTGTCCAGTTGGTTGCAGTAGACATCTGCTGTCATTGATTAACCAGGTTTCATGAAGCTGTAGTGCATAATACCAGCATTGGACTACCAGACAGACACCATTAGCTTTTCTAATGAATATTCGGTTTTGGTCTGTCTTTCGCCACTCCATCTTTATCTATCCATTGTTGCAGTTGTCAGATATAATCTGTTTCTCATCACATGTAACAATATAGTATAGAAATGGTTTGCATTTATGCGGTGACTGCAAAGAAAGGCAAGCCTTGAGATTTCTTTTCTGACACTCGTTGAATTCATGCAGGAGCCACCTAGCCAGCTTTTTTACCCTGATGATTTGTATCAAGTGGTCCAACATTGTTGGATTATATCAAACCTTGCTGGGGCGGCGCCTGGGGCTCAGTGGGTAGGGTCCCAGCCCCATATACTGAGGGTGCCGGGTTTGAACTCGGCCCCAGCCAAACTGCAACAAGAAAATAGCCTGACGTTGTGGCAGGCACCTGTGGTCCCAGCTGCTTGGGAGGCAAGAGAATCACCTAAGCCAAAGAGCTGGAGATCACTGTGAGCTGTGACAGCACAGTACTCTACTGAGGGCAATAAAGTGAAACTCTGTCTCTATTAAAAAAAAAACAACAACAAAAACCATTGCTGCTATTTCATGCACAGGTTGAGATGGATTCACTTCCACTACAGTTTTTAGCTTATCATTATCCACCCTGGTCTCAGGTCACTTACGTGACTCATTTTCAAGATTAAAATCACCAGAATGGAACTTCTGAAACCATGGACATTCTATATATTTATTATTCACATCCTTCACAAATATTTTATCAATGTTTCTAGCTATCCATGTTGCGTTGGTTCCATGATGGAACTCATTCAAAAATAGCATGAATTTTTTATTTATCTTTTAAAAGAAAAATTCAGAAAAATTGCTCTATAAAGAAAAGTTTGCAAGATGATAGGGGATGGAGAGAGGAAAGAAGTGAGGGGATTGAGGGGGGGACACAGTGTGTGACACACCTCTTGGGGGAGGGGCGGAATTATAAGAGGGACTTTACCTAACAAATGCAAACAGTGTAACCTGGTTCTTTGTACCCTCAGGGATTCCCCAAGGATAAAAAATAAATAAATACAATGTTTGCAAGATAATCACAAGCCATAACGTGTCTTTGAAAGAATAAGGATGTAGCTTCTCAATTTAAAATAAAAAGTGTCAAAGTGAAATGTTAGACATAACAACTGTAAAACTTACTACTTAATGAAATTGGAGATTTCTTACTAACCTAAAATAAAGAACTCTTTCAATACAACAAGAAGACAACATGATTAGAAAATGGGCAAACAACTTGAATAGACATTTTTCCAAAGAAGAAATTCAAATATCCATCAAGTCCAGGAAAAGATGTTCAATATCATTAACCATTAAGGTAATGAAAATCAAAACCACAGTAAGATACTACTTCACTCCACAAGAGTAGCCATAATTTAAAAAGCAGACAAACTGAAATTAACAGTTGATGCCAAGGATGTGGAAAATTACTGGTATGAGTGTAAAATGGTAAGGCCACTGTGGAAAACAGCTTGGCAGTTTCTCAGAAAGTTTATAGAATCATATGTTTCTCAGAAAGTTTATAGAAGCTGCTAGTTATATATCCAAAAGAATTGAAAACAGGAGCTCAAATACTTATACATGAATATTGATGGCAGCACTATTCAGAGGAGTCTACCACTAGAAACAAGAATGGCCATCAGTGGATGAATGGATTGACAAAGTGTGGTATATCCATATAATAAAGATTATTCAGCCTTAAAAAAGAATAGAGTACTGACACATAATACAATGTAGGTAAACATTGAAGGCATTATGTTAAGTGAAAGAAGCCAGATACAAAGGCCACATTTTGTATGATTCTAGGTACATAAAATATCCAGAATAGTCAAAATCCTTAGAAACAGAAAGCAGATTCACAGTTGCCAGGGCCTGGAAGACAATGAATGACGAGTAACTGCTTAATGTGGGTATGGAGTTTCCTTTGGGGTGATGAAAATATTTTAGAGCTAGACAGTGGTTGGTATTGCTTAAGCAGACTCACTGACTAAAAATGTTTTAAGGCAAAATTTTAGAAAAAAAAAAGAAAAAGGCCAGGCACAGTGTGGTTCACGTCTGTAATCCTAGTACTTTGGGAGGCCAAGGTGGGTGGATCACTTGAGCTCAAGAGTTCAAGATCAGCCTGACCAAGAGCAAGACCCCATTTGTAAAAAATAGTTAAGTGTTGTGGTGGGCGCCTGTAGCTCCAACTACTCAGGAGGCTGAGGCAAGAGAATCACTTAAGCCTAAGAGTTTGAGGTTGCTGTGAGCTGTGATGCCACAGTACTCTACTGAAGGTGACATAGCAAAACTCTGTTTCTAAAAAAACTAAAATTCTTAAAAATTAAGAAAAAAAGTCATTTAGATGAGAGCTTTTCTTAACTATTAGAATGGAGGCAGAGACTGGGCTACTATGACTACTATTCCAAAGTTCTGCTGATTCTTCTCTAACCAGAGCTGAGGTTTATTTCCAGTACCTTTATGATAATCAGTGGCTGAAAGGCCAGCCACTAAGAGTCTGGTGATGGCCCTAAGGAATATCATATATATGGCAAATTAGTAAATGTATTAGAGGAAGCACAGCTCGTTTCACTGGAGAGTATCCTCTTAAGTATATTCTGTCTCTTCTGTTTGAGGTCTTCTCTCCCTTTCCTGTGTTTTAAGTCTATATGATCTTTCTTTGTCTCAGCTACCAGAAGTTTTGGAGCCAAATTCTGCCAAACTAACCATTTTATGATAGGGTTAATGGAAGAATAGGTTAGGGCTGCTAGGTCTCTGGATTTCAGTAAAGCACTTGGCAAAGTCTTATAATGTCCCTATGATCCTATAGCATACATACCTCGGGATGTCTCTTGAGCCTTGTCATTCTGCTAGGTTTCTTTTAACCATAGTTTTGATGCCTAGTGGTTAGAAAGGCTAACAAATACATTGATGGACAGACTCAGAATCTGGAAGATAGGAATGGGTGATTATTATGGGCTAAATATAGCAAGGTCAATTTTATTAGAGGTAAATGTTAAGTTTTATGCTTCGTACCAGAAAGCACAAGCTGAATGAGTACAGCATTGGAAGGACATAATTTGTTGCATGTGCATCGAAATGAAGAGCCACAGGATGTTACTATCATTCTTATCCTCTTGAGATGAGCGACCCACACTGTTCAGGCCAAATCTGGAACATTGTACCCCATCCCGTTTCACAAGAAATTTTGACAACCTGAAAATAAATCCAGAGGACAGTGTCAGGGATGGTGAGGAGGACGCGCAAACCTGTCATGAGATACAAGTGAAGAAGACAGGAGTGGCTGGCTAGTCTTGAGATTACTTATCAAGCAGTGAAAGCTATCCAAAAAGAAAAAATGAGAAGAAAAAAGAACAGAGTCTCCTGCCTTGTGTGGTCATAAAAGCATTCTAGAAAAGGCTGCTGACCATTTTTCAAAAAATATTTTTGATTACTAAAGGATGGAAGCACAGAGTCACTATAGGTCTTCCAGTCATAAAATGTATATGGAGGTTAGGTATGGAGTATACAGGTAATTACTAAAAAGCAGGCGACATGAGAGTGGGATGACAAGAGAAAATACATTCTAATTGAGTTCTAAAAGTTTGGTGTTTTTTTTGTTTGTTTGTTTTTGTTTTTGTTTTTTAAGAGCCAGAGTTCTGCTCTGTCCTTCCTGCTGGAGTATAATGTCATCAGCCTGGCTCACTATAGTCTTGAACTCCTGGGCTGAAGCTATTCTCCTGCCTCAGCCTCACAGGACTATAGATGTGCACCACTATGCCTGGCTAATATTTTAATTTTTGTAGAAACACGGTCTTACTTTTTTCTCGAGACAGAGTCTCACTCTCTCACACCAGGAGTTGAATGCCATAGCCTCATTATAGTTCACAGCAACCTCAAACTCTTGAGCTCAAAGTGATTCTCATGTCTGAGCTTCCCCTGAGTAGCTGGGACTATAAGCACCCACCACATCACCTGGCTAATTTTTCTACTTTTAGTGGAGACATGATCTCACACTTGCTTAGGTTGGTTGGTCTTGAACTCGTAATCTTAAGCAATCCGCTGGACCTGGCCTCTCATAGTGGTAGGATTACAGGTATGAGCCACCACACCCAGCCCAAACAGGGTCATGCTTATGTTGCCCACGCTGATCTTAACTCCTGATCTCAATCACTCCTCCCAGCTTGGCCTCCCAAAGGGCTGGAATTAGAGACTTGAGTCACTATATCTGGTTTAAGTGCTTGTTAAATTCAAAGCATTGCTGAAAATATTATAAATAACTCAGAAATGATAAAATTTTCAGGCTTGGGTCAGGATCAACAGGAAGATAATTTATTTCCTTGGCCTTATTTTATAGTCTAGTCTCCTGAGACAAGATATAGGGCTTGGGAGCCCAGCACAACTGTCTTCATCAGGAAAACCTGGGACACCATACTATTCATTCTCTACCACAAGTTCTAGGAGAAGACCGCTCCATGACTCTGCAGCACTTGGTGAGTGTTACCATACACCAAATTCCATCCCTCAATTACATCTTTCTTTTTTTGTTTTCCTTCCCTTAGTTTGTACTTCTGATTATACTTTTAATTAAAAGAAATGTGGATTCTTGGGTATTATGTTAATGTCAGAATTATATAAGCATAAAAATATACACATGATATAATACATAATGCATAAAATATATAATGCATAGAAATAACATCCATTAGATATTTAATAAATGAAATAAAAATGTTAACTTACAACATCGTAAGTTTTTTTTTATTTTCTTTTTTGAGACAGAATCTCATGTCACCCTCAGTAGAGTGCTATGGCATCAGAGCTCACAGCAACCTCAAACTCTTGGGCTTTAGTGATTCTCTTGCCTCTACTTCCCAAGTAGCTAGGACTGCAGGCACCCGCCACAATGCCTGGCTATTTTTTTGTTGCAGTTGTCAAGCAGGCCTGGGCCGGGTTCAAACCCACCAGCCTCACTGTATGTGGCCGGCACCCTAACCACTGAGCTATGGGCACCAAGTCATAAATTTTTTATTATAGGTTCTTCCGCTAGTAATTTTGAATGGCTATTTAATTTCTAAGCCATAAATTTTTTTTTGGTGTAAAAAGTTGTTTTTATTTTATTATGGCATTAGCCAAAATTAATAAATTTTTATTCAAGGAATTTCACATGTGATTCTTCTGCTATCCATCTCAAAGGCTGGAGTCCCTGAAGATTTCCTTTCAAGACAACTCTTTTTAATAGAACAGATCCTCAATCCACAGTTGTCCTGTTAGCCCAAAAGTTGCTTGCTGTTATTCTTTTTTCTTTTATTTTCGCTTCTTTGATAAAAACTTGAAATTCCCCACTTTTTAGAGTAGATCAATCTTGCCTGGTTGTCAGTTTGACACCTTCTTGGAAAAACTAATGCATTCAAATCATATTGGTTCCGAAAGCCATCACATTTCAAGCATAGTACAGATTAGTGGGTTATGACAACACCTAAGGTAAAAGCAAATTAATTAGATCTTTCATATCTTTACCAATTGTCTTGTAGTTCTTTCCCACAGACCTAACAAATAGACCTGCGAGTAAAGCAGAACCACAGTGTTACTCTATGAGGTGTTTCCAACAATGTGTGGCTACAGAAAAAGCCCCATCGGGATAGACCTCAACTATAGGCCATAATTTTAACAAGTTTCAAACAACCAATTTAATACTCTTGTTTGGTCCTCAAGATAAGGAAATAAATAGGAAAAAATAAATCTTAACTAGTTTTCTTCTTATAATTAAAATGTCATGTT